GGGCCTCACCATACTAAAATCAAAGCTCAACTGCAGTCGCGGCTCTCGGCTGCTGAGGCTCAGAGCCCTCTTCCGAGCCCACAGGTTGTCAGCAGAATTCATCTCCTTGCCGCTGTGGGTCTGAGGCCCCAGGTTCCTGCTGACTGTCAACCAGGAACTGCTGTCAGCTCATGAAGGCCACCGAGGCTCCTGCTGGCAGTCCCTCCTCTTACAACATGGTAGTATGCTTTGTCACAGAGGCCAGCAGAAGCAGGTTTCTGACTTCCTCTGTCTCTGATCTCAAGCCCCTTTAAAGAACACACCTGATTAGGGCAGGCCCATCCAGGATAATCTCCATTTTGATCAGCTCAACTGATTAGGGACCTTAATGATATCTGAAAAAATCCTTTGCCATAATCATGGTAGTTACATCCAACATATCCACAGGTCCTACTCACACCCAGAGAGAAGGGATTATACAAAGGCACAGACCAGAGGTGGTCATCTTAGAATTCTACCTACCACACATATGAAACCACTTAGAGAATGAAAATCAGGATAACAAATTGAACACTCAGAAAGACACCAATAAGAGAGATGATAGATAGACACAGAAAAGCAAGGAGAAAATGGCACCTGAGTGCTTCTGTGATGGAAGTGTACAACTATTTTCTAGCTTTTTGGTATTTTCTAACTTTTGTGCTTTGGGTACACACTGCTGTTTAAATGCGTGGGGGCAGGAGGGTCTCTCCTAAAGCACAACTGTGCCTTTTGACAATGTCTTGGGGTTCAGTCACAGCGTGAGTCCACTGCTCCTCGGTCTGTTTGCTATTACTGTTAGAAGCAGCACACCAGCTTAACAGCCGTTCCTTTGGGCCAAGAGAGCAACAGGCGCAGGATTTTCACTTGGGCTTGAAACAACAAACAAAAACCAGTCAAAAGTTCATGAAGTGGTCTTCCAGACATTGCACACCAGGCAATGACAGTCAACAACCCCTGAGAGAAGGGCAACAGACAGGGGAGCCCTGAGACAGCCCGGCTGACTGCCTGAGGGCTTCCAGGCTGTGGCAAAGCCAGTCGGAATCCAGGCAGAGCCCAGAGGGCCCCTGAGTGGAGGAGATGGAGCCTCAGTCCAGGGAGACAGAGTGGGCAGAGCCTGCAGGGGAGAGCACGCCAGAGGAGAGCGGCACAGGGAGGACGCTGGAGATGGGCGGAGGCTCCCTCGAGTATGCACCAGAGTACTGAGGAGCAGACACCTAAGAGAGAACCACAGAGATCCACAGGAACATGACCAGGTCACGAGACGTGAAAGCAAAGGAATCTGTTCCTGTGAGGTACAGGGACACCACAGAATCCCCAGGACACTGGGGAGAGTACTCAAGAGTCCTGCCTCAATGGTGGGGAATAGTTAGTCCTAGACTAAACACCACTCTAGTTCTGACTAAGGAATCTAAAACAAACCCAAAAAGATCAAACTGTTTCCATGTAACCTACCTGCATTTCAGAACAAAGCTAGAGAATATTTACTAAAAAACCAAAAATATCCAGCATTCAACCAAGTAAAATTCACAAAGTATCCAATTAAACATTACCAGAGAGGTATAAAAGGAGGAAAATATGAACCACAATGAGGAGAAAAATCAATCAAAATCAACCCCAAACTGACACAGATGTTAGAATCAGCAGACAAGAATGTTAAACAGGTATTATAACTATATTCCACATGTCAAAAAGGTAAGTAGAGAAATATGAGGTAAACATGACAGACAATGCTATTAACGATGAAAACTATGTCTGAGAAGAAAATGTACTGGTTGGAATTAACAGCATATTAGACAGCACACAAAAAGATTAGTCAACTTGAAAACAAACTATCTGAAATGAAACTTGGCAAAAAAAAAAAAAAAGATTCTAAAACACTCAAAATATTACGGAACTTTGGGATAACTTAAAATAGCCAAATATGTATGTAATTGGAGGCCCTGAAGGAAAGGACAGTGGAAGAAACAAAAAACATCAAAAAATCATGGTCAAACATTTTTCAAATTTGATGAAAACTATAAACCCACTAAACCAAACTCAATGAAACCCAAGCCCAAGAAACATGAATAAAACTAAACAAAAGCATAAAAATGTCAAGTTGTTCAAAACCAGTGATAAAGAAAATCTGAACAGCCAGAGGGGGAAGAAAGTTACAATATATGAAAAAAGATAAGGATGACAGCAGATTTTTGATCAAAAACAATGAAAGTCAGCAGACAGTGGAATAAGATCTTTAAAATAATAAAAGAAAAAACCGTCAACTTAAAATTTTATGCACAGAAAAAAATCTTTCAAGTATTGAGACTAAAATACTTTCCAGACCACAAAACCTAAAAAAATTTATGACTAGCAGAGCCTCTCTACAAAAAATGTTAAAATCCTCCAGACAGAAGGAAAATGACTCCACACAGAAGAGGAAGATGTGGAGGAAATGGAGCTCTCATACACTACTGGTCAGAAAGCAAAACCGTACAGCCACTGTGGAAAAGAGTTTGGCAGTTTGTGATAATATTAAATATCCGCTGACCAGATGATCCACTCCTGGCTGAAATAAAAGCACACGTCCACACAAAGGCTTTTATACAAATGTCCACAGCAGCTTTCTGTGTAATAGACAAGACTAGGGGAAAAGCCCCAATGTACAACAGATGAATGATAAACTGTATACCCACACAATGGAATACTACACAGCAAAGATAAAATGAATGAACTACAGTCATACATCACATAATAACGTTTTGGCCAATGACAGACTGCATATGCGATGGTGGTCCCATGAGATTAGCACCATACAGCCTGGGTTTGTAGTAGGCTACACCATCCAGGTTTGTATAAGTGCACTCTGCGATGCTCACACAAGGACGAAATTGCCTAATGACACATTTCTCAGAACGCATCCTGCCACTGAGGGACACGTGACCATACTGACGCATGCAATCACATGGATGAATCTCAACATAGGTAAGCTGAAAGCAGTCAGATAAACTATGATGCATTTACAAAATCAAAGAACTTTATGTCTATAGAATGCATGTAATATATATAGTCCTTTATAAAATTTCAGAAAATTCACGCCACTGTATAGTGACATCATAGGCACAACAAACAAGAGCAGGGAGGGGTGAGGAGAGGGGTGGCGAGGAGAGGGGTTACAAAGGTGCAAGAGGGGTTGATGGAAATGTTCGCTGTTTTGCCTATGGTCATACACGTCAAATTTTATCAAACTGTATACTTTAAAAATATGTACTTTTTATGTCATTTATCTCTCTAAAATACTGTTTTTGAAAAATAGCTTACCAAGTGTGACCCCTGGGGCCCTCTATAAGTGTGGATCCAACAAGTAGCCCTCTTTTAAAGAAAAACCCTGCTTATCATTCCCAGCTTCACTATTTGCTTCTATATTACACAATGAGATACCATTTCACACCCACTATGACAGATAAAATCAAAAAGACATTAACAAGTGTTGGTGAGGATGTGGAGAAACTAGAACCCTCATACACTGCGGATAGGAATGTGTAATGGTACAGCTGTTTTGGAAAACGGTTTGAAGGTTCCTCAAAATGCTAAACATCGAACTGCCATAGGACAAAGCAATTTCATTCCTAGGCATATAACCAAAAGAAATGTAGATGTCCACACAAAATATCGTACACAAATGTTCACCACAGCATCATGCACAAGAGCCAAAAGGTAGAAACCATCCAAATGTCCAAAAACTGATGAACAGATAAAATGTGGCTTATCCATACTATGGAATATCGCTCATAAAATGGAATGAAGTATTGAGAGATGCTACAACATGGTGAACTTGTTAAACATTTATGTTAAGTGAAAGAAGCCAGATGTAAAAGGCCAAATATTGTCTCATTCCATTTATGCGAAATGTCCAGAACAGCCCAATTCACAGAGATAGAAAAAGATTAGTGCTTGGCTGAGGCTGGGAAGAGAGAGAATAGGGAATGAAGGCTTATAGGTACTGGGGTCCTTTTACGGGATACTGAAAGGTTCTAACGTTAGACTGTGGTGATGGGTGTACTACTCCGTGAATACACTAAAAACCACTGAATGTTGTATACTTTTAGGATATGTAAAATATATCTCAATAAATAAAAGTAAATCTCATAACAAAAAAAGATGAAGAAGAAAAAGCCATATGTACTTTTTTAAATGTGAAATTTCCTGATTTTTATGTGTTGGCTATTAAACTTTAAGATGGCCGTCAAGTCCCCAGATATTCGGGCAGGCCAAATATCACCTGCCTGCTCCATCCAGCCAGTGGCCAAGAACTTGCCAATTTCAGGACTACACCACCTTCTTAGGAACCACAGGGCACAGTTCTCTGGTTGTTTCCCTACAAGAACTCCCCAGCACTGTGTTCTCTAACCCCACTGAGAGTATTTTTCTTGCCCGCCTCATCCTCAATCCATTCTCTAACTCTTCTCTTCTTCACCATCATCAGCAGGTTGCCATCACTCCTGTACACACACTAACTTCCGCTCTGCATCAGAGCTGCCCCAGCTCCATCGTACGCCAAGTCTTGAAGCCCACCCTGCCAGCTCTGACTACCTGGTATTGTACAACGTCCTGTGTCCCTCTCCTGTGCCAGACCAACTAAAACATATCATGCATCCCATCTTTCTCCTCCCAGCTCCACCAAAAGAAAAAAAGGTTGTTGTTTGGCAGGTTTCGAAGACATGACAATGGCAAACAGTGCTGTACTAGTCTGCTGGACGGAATGCTCTTTCCTCAACCAGGAGAGCAGGCGGCATTGGGAACGGGAAGGAAAGTGCTTCCAGCATGGAAGGGAAAGCAGTGGACAGACTGCTTCACTTGAAGGCCACCTAACAGCCCCGCTCCCTGTGCCCAGGCACAGGTCCTCCACTACACAGAAAGAGGGACGCTGTCAGACGTAAGGAAGGAGGCATCCAGAGAAAGGGCGGGACAGGACCAAAACCCTGACCCTGGTGACAACCTACCCGGAGACTGGCACACTCTGTATCACAGTCAGGAAGCAACGGTCTGCTTCTCCCTCTTCACCCCTGAAATAGAAAAGCACCAGACCAATCTTGGCGCCAAAAACGTCCAAAACTCAAGGAGAAAGAAAATAGGAAAGTGTCTGCCTTACAAAAACATCTGAGTGGTGAATAATTACTTCACTGTCCCGTTATAAATTTCCAGAGAATCCCAAAAGATTACCTCTAAAGACAATGACTTACGTCCTCAGACGGTAATGGGTCTTGTGCTATCTTTATTTTTATGTTGATTTTAGAATAATTGTTTGTTGTTAGATGGGTTAAATGTTTAGCTATTTGAATTTCCATCTGATGTTAATGTAACTTATTACTACAAGTTAAATCAAGTACACCCAAGGCAGTTTTACAGGGGCTTCCGAGACACCGTTTATTATGCTTGCTCCTATTCAAAGAAGCCACACAGCCCTCTTGTCTCCCTATTGTTATGAAGGGAAGATGGCTGAGCAGAAAGATATAAGATTTTTTTCCCTCAAGATGGTTCATCTTTTGTGTGGGCAATCTGTCTTTGAGGAAAGACAGAATAAAGCCGATATTTAGGAATATCAAGTGAGTCAGTGCGGGCATCTCTCAAATCCATGATCAATATTCTCATGTTTTTAACACCGCTTTCAGTCATAAATATCTTTCCTCTAAGAAAGAAATAATTCTCCTTTCGGTCACAGTCATTGCAGTCGATACGAGTCAGCAGAGTGGCCACAATGGCCTGGTCAGGCTGGGGGCACCCTTTCCACCCAAGAGCCAAGAACACACTGGTGCATGAGAACCTGAGAAGGAAAGCCGCAAAGAGAATGTAAAGACCAGAAACAGCAATAACGGGGAAAAGTTTTTTATTCTGAAGCATAACATCATCTGTGTTAACAATTTATTTCACATCCTATTTTTCTCCTGAGCCCAGCAAAAATAAAAAAAATTTTAAAAAGTCAAGATTGACATTATCGTTCAAAACTAATGTGCAATATCCTTTTAAAAGTTAAAATCTAAATATTGAGTAGAGGTTGCATGGAAAAGAACACTTAAAAAGTACACAATTAAATATTTTAAAAAGTAAATCTTATCAAAACATATCCAGGTAAGAGCCTTACTTAGAGTATAATCTTTTGAACATCTGCCAACTACCCGTCAAAGGTAGAGTACTGAAACGCTGTGTACTGTGTTAACAAGAATCCTAACACTGGAAAGGTCACTTTTGAACTAATTCACCAACAATATATGGCTCGTCAGCTTCCTGAATCACAAAACCTGTGCACATAGTTGCCACAAGGGCACCAGCAGGAGGCGGCCCTGAGTAGGTGTCCAGCAAGAGGTAAGAAGGTCGGCACTGGAAAGTGGGCTGCTCCTCGTCACCACTGTGAGCATCCTTATGAACAGACTGACTTCCAGCCCTCACTTAGAAAAGGAACCGTTTAAAGTGAATGTAAAGAAGGAATCTCCTGCGTGAGCAGGTCTGAAGCCCACAGGCACAACAAGCCTCCGAGCGCTGAGCCCTCTGGCGCCCCCTCTCGGTAGAGCCTTGTTTTACGGACAGGCGCGGCACCTCCCACAACCCACCAGCCAGGCGTCACAGATGCAACAGAAAGATGATTGACCGCATTTTCACATTTGTAAAATGTTAAGGATAGAAACTTGAAAATAAACTAGTGCTTTAAAATATTTCGCCAGGGAATGCCACTGACAAGGCTTTATTTCCGGGAGGATGGGGGCACGGCCACTGCACTGCTCCATCACCACAAAGTAGGAATAAGCATCATCACAAAGACTTTGTTATTGTGCGATGGCAGAAGTTCCCCTCCTCTAGAGATTATGATACCTGAGGACTGGGATCAATGCTTAACAAAAATAAAAAGAAAATTTTCTTAACAGTCTCAGAACTTTTTTTTCTGAGAAGAGTCCACACTTTGGCAAGTAGCAAATGCACCCGTTTTGACACTGAGATTCTGGGAGCCTGTGACTTCTCCACTGTTTCATCAGAAATTATGGCTTCACTAAATTAGCAACAGATGGGAGTCATATGAAGGTGACTGACTTCTGGTAAAACACAGCCCATTGAGGAAGACAACACCACTTCCCTGGGGTTCTAGGGAACCGGGAGGAGATGCATGCGGACATGGTCCCACCGGTGGGGGGCCTGCCCGCCGCCCCCGACTGGAGTGAGCAGGACTGCACAGCCCACGCCCAGGACCAGAGGTGGGCAGGCCAGGCTGGAGCCATCACCCTTGAGCCAGGAGACGCTCGCAGCCACACCCCGACACCGGCTCTCCACAGGCCAGGCCCCCACAGGACGCACAGCAGCCTGCTGGGGACAGCATCCCACCACAGCACTCCTTGCTCCCACATGCCTCACACTGCTGGCCCCAGGTGCCCGACGGGACAAGCCTTGGATGCCCCCAAGGCTGTCCCGGTAGAGCCCAGCAGTGGCTCCAGACAATGGGACCTGTCAGGGGAAGGACCTTTTCTCAAAACAGCGAGCGTGGCTCTGGGAAACATCTCTGCATCAACCAGGTAACAGCTCTCAATAAACAGACCCGCGACGGAGGTCGAAACTACATGGAGGCAGACGGGGAGGGCCGCTTGCCACACTGAGCGGCTAGCCATGGGGCGTCTGTGGGCCTGCTTTGGCAGCTGGCGGTTGACACAGAAAACCAGGCCACGGCCCCAGCAGAGAGGCCGCTCCCTGCAGGACACGACTCTTAGATGGCCAGGCCTGGGGCAGGTGCCCGGGTACTGCGGCCAATGCTTCCTGGGAGCAGCAAGGGACAGCAAGGGCAAACCCCACCCCAGCCTGAGAATAACCCCCGGGGACATGGGGTGCCTTTGTCCCTCAAAGCCACAGGCTCTGGAACAGTCTCCCTGCATTTAAGTTCTGTCTCCACCTCTGATGAGCTACGTGATCTTAAGCAAGTTACTACACCTCTCTGTGCCTCGATTTCCCACCCGGAGCATAATCACAGTACCTACCTCACAGGGTTTTTGTGAAGATTAAACTAGATTCAAACATTTAAACCAATTTCAAACGTGCCTGACACAGACTAAGTGGTCACAAAAGCCACTGTTAACTGATTATTCCCATTGCTGCTCTCTCCTCCCCGTCGTATGGTCTCAGAGCCTGGGCAAAGTAAGATGTTTCCCCACCACACGGCCTGCACTCGTACCTTCTCTCTGTGACAGGAATACACTCGAAATATGCTCAAAACCAAAAACGTAGCGATTAAAAACTGAGAGTTCTCTGACAATGACAGACCTCCCTCTCAGCTTGAGAGGCAAGATGTCAAAGGGAGCACTTCACTGCCTCGTAGCCAAGCCACTTCTGCCACGACCTCTTCTCTTATGCCCCTCCCTGGCCAGTCTATAGCCAGGGTCCCCACCTTGTTTGAAGCTGTCCTCACGACCTTGGCACTTCAGGTGACCGGATCAGAGCTGCCCACGATCCTACACCAAGGTGACCAGGCCCCTCATCTATGACCAAAGTCACCTGAGCACACTGAGTCACGATGTGGTTCTAAACCCTTCAGCTTACCTTGTACAGAAGCAGCCTCCGAAATCCCAGCCATGCATCCCTGGGAAAGCCCAGAGAGGTCCTCAACGCTCCAGCCAAGCGCTGCCGCTCCTAGGGACATGGCGTACTTCGTCTGCATCTGAGTTTACATCTGCTCCACAACTAGTTGCTAGTTCTAATGCACATCGTAAGGATGCCTCTGGAACCAGAAGACATTTTCAAAAACAGAATGAGGGGGCCGGCCCGGTGGCGTGGTAGTGAAGTTCACATGCTCTGCTTTGGCAGCCTGGGGTCTGCAGGTTCGGATCCCGGGCATGGACCTACACACCAATCATCAAGCCGTGCTGTGATGGCACCCCATATACAAAATAGAGGAAGACTGGCACAGATGTTAGCTCAGGGACAATCTTCTTCACAAAAAGAGAGAACGAGGTCCCCAAGCTTGTGAGAAGGGCCCATTTTATCCATGATCTATGTAAATCAAGTATCAGGGCCATTTCCACAAAATCTTCCACTCAGCACTCATTTCCCACAGCGTGTCTATGAGAAAAAATGCTCCTCCTATCAGTCAGAGAGTGTCACAAAGAGGGCCACCACCCCTCACCAATGGGAACTTTGGGGAAGAAGGACCTAGATGCTCCCTGGCACCAACTAAATATCAACTCTGAGTGTGAGAGAAGCAACTGAATAAAGTAGACATGGACACATCTACACTCCATCCCACACCTCCCCAATGGAGCAGAGCAGACGTCAACAGCATGTGGCTTGTACTGCCAGCGTGGAGTGGGCTGGCATAAGCAGCCTTAATCAGGGAAGCCCTGACAGCACGGAGATGGCCCCAGAAGCTCTCAGGACACACAGGGCTGTGGGCCTGCACAGCCTGCCTTGTTCCTCTTCACCCTCCTTCTTGGGGTCCCTCTCAGCTCTGTCTCAGCTACCTCTAGTCCCTCAGCAACTGGGATGAAGGAGGAACCCAGTCTCGTGCACACTTTGGGACCGCTGCTCTCAGGGCCGACACAGTGAGTGCCCCGGCTCTCGGCAGAGAGCACTGGGCTCGGTGAGAGCTGCCTCCCTTTTCCACGGTGTAAGCTTCTAGGATTCTCTGACATGTAGATCTTTTTCACCTACTTCCAAAAGGTCACAGCTGTCTTCTGGAAAGATGAAACTGCTTGAAGCTTGGGAAGCCTAATAAATAGGAGGTTTGTGTACTTTAGAGGAAAAATGAAAGTCAGTCCATGGCAATGCCATCAGCTGGACTTTCCAAGGAATGCTTCTTGCCAGGACTGCTAGCCCCCAGTGAGGGCCCCGTGTGCAGAGGTGCCCTCTCTGAGACCAGGCCAGGGCTCAGAGCTTCCCATTTGTTGTCATTTGACCACCCTACAAAGGGGGCATTATTATTACTATGTTATAGAAAAAATAAACATAGATTAACTTTCCCCCAAAAAGAGTCAATATGCAAACAAAGCTTGTACCCTCAACTGCGACCTACACTGCTGTCAGAGGTGAAATACTA